ACTATAAACAATCATGCATCTCAACCCATCAATAATAGTTCTTACTTTGAACTACACATCTCAACAATCATTAGCAAGTATTTACAAAACCTCACATAATCATACTTGTACTTTACAACATATATTCACACATAAAATAAACACCCACATAGTACTCAAACATATCAATTCATCTTATCATCGCTTCATCATTAATTTGTTCATTCACAACAATCAATTGTTCGTTAGTTACTGTCAACTATTACGTAACAAGTAAAACAATTATTTTCCACAATTTCCAGTACCCATATAGTCTCTTAATACATCACTATGGTATAGTCATACATGTTAACTTTCCAACACTTCGAACTACACCTTATTTGAATTTACAGAACTAAAGTTATGGAAAAAACACTAAAATGACAAATTTCTGGTTTCAACACTGTTTTGCAATGAATTAATTGATTAATGATCCCTATTAATCAATTGAAATCAATCAATTGACACCTTCTGATTTTCAAAAAAAATTTAATTACACCAGCATCAATCGATTGCAACAAACAGTCAATCGATTGGCATCACCCCTTTTTCCAAAAAATTTCAATTTTTCACATGATCATTCGAGTGACATCGGGGGTTAATCGACTAACATCAGCAAAATTTTCAAAAAATCTCAGTTTCAATCACGTTCACATCATCCCCTCCAATCCCTAAGCTGCATACATCATACTAGTTCATTTTGTAACATCCGAACACATCATATCATGAATTTAACAGCATGAATCAATTTCATAACAATTAATCATATCATAACACACATATCAAATCATGAATCAAAACAATTGGACATGTAATTTACACTATTTTCATCAAGAACACATGAACACATTAATAATGGTGGAATCAAAATAAAAACCTTGAAGAGGGTGAGGATCCATGTCCACCCTTCATACACTATACACCCATAAAAGAGTAATCTCCCCCCTTACCTTGAATTTCCAGTAAACAAGATCTAAGATCCTAAACAATAGTGTGCTTTACCCAAGCCCTAATTTGCCACGCTTGCCTCTTTTCTCTTATTCTAAATTAACTCGTACTATAAAAGTTTAGCCCTCACTTTTTTTCCAATTTAAACCAAAATCCAATTCTCCTAATTAGGTTATTCTCTTATCACCCTCAACTTATTCTCCTATTGTATATTTTGCCCTTACTCCTCTTACTAACTCCAATTTCATTTATTTTTAATTTCTAATAATTCAATTATCCACTAAACTATACTACTTCTCTTATTTTTCTACAACTACCTTAATTTTAAATAAGGGTTAAATACGTTTATAGTCCTCATAAATATCTCAGTTTTGTTTTTAGTCTCTCAAATCATTTCCTTCAAAGAATGGTCCTCCTAAAAATTTTAATTCACACTTTTGGTCTCTCTTGCAAATTAGCGACGGTTTTTACAACTTAGCAATAGAATTAAAGGACAGTTTTATCGATGATTTTTAACTTAGTGACTGAATTAGCAACAATTTTAGTATTAGGGGCCAAAAGTGTGGATGAAAATTTTTAGGAGGACCATTCTTTGAAGAAAATATTTTATGGGACTAAAAATGAAATTTGAGATATTTAGGAGGACCACAAACATATTTATCCCTTTAAATTATTCCATTTAACTTAAATTAATTAAAATTAATCTAATTAATTTCTACAATTTCCTTAACTCTAAATACCCACCAAGACACATATATTCACCAAGTATCCATATAAAAGCATATAAATAATTTAATAATTTAAATAAAATGCAACTAGATTAAATTAAATTAAATTAATTAATTGAATTTGAGGTGTTACAACTCTCTCTCACTTATAGAATTTCCGCCCTCTAAAGTTACCTGTAAGAAAAAGAGTCTAATACGACTCTCTCATCTGACTCTCCAGCTCCCACGTCATCCCAACTCTAGCAGGTCCTCCCATACCACCTTCACCAGCGCAATCTTCTTCCCTCTCAAGTGTTTCACTTCGCGATCCTCTACTCTCAAGGGAGATGCCTTAATGGTCAAGTTCTCTCTTACTTGCACATCGTCCACTTGAATCACATGAGATAGATTAGGAATATACTTCCTCAGTTGAAACACACGAAATACATCATGAAGATTCGAAAGAAATGGTGGTAAAGCAACTCTATAGGCCACTTCTCATATTCATTTTATAATCTGATAAGGACCAACAAAATGCGGCGTGAACTTTCAAGATTTCAAAGCACAACCAACACTTGTAACCGAGTGACTCACAAGAACACATGATCTCCCTCTTGGAACTCAAGTGTTTTCATCCTCTTATCACGAAAACTCTTCTGGTGACTCTAGAAAGCCTTCATCTTCTCTTGGATCATCTTGATCTTCTCGATAGTCTGCTGAACAATCTCAGGTCCAAGCACAACACTTTGACCATAATCAAACTAATACATAGGTGTCCTACACCTTCTATCATACAAAGCCTCAAACAGTGTCATTCCAACACTATGGAAACTGTTGTGATAAGTGAACTCAACCAAAGGTAAGTAACTATCCCAATTACCTCCTTACTACAACACACAAGCTCTCATCAAATCCACCAAAGACTGGATAATCCTCTCTGTCTGACTGTCCATCTGCGGATGATAAGTAGAACTCAGCTTCAGCTTAGTACGCATGGCTTCTTACAAAATCCCCCAAAAGCATGATGTGAATCTCAGATCTCTATCAGAAAAATGATTGAATGAATACCATGCAAGCTACAACCTTCTCAATATACACTTCAACCAACTTTTGTAATGAATAACTGATCTTAATCGAAATGAAATGACCAATTTAGTCAATCTAACCACTACAACCAAAACTAAAACATTCCCTTTAGAAGTCTTACACAAACTTGTCAAAAATCCATGGAGATATCATCCCACTTTCATTCAGGAATATCCAATGGTTGCATCAAACCCAATGTTTCTGATGTTCAATTTTTTACTATTGGCAAGTCAAACACGCATAAACGAACTCGACTATATCCTTCTCCATTCCTGGCCACCAAAGCATTTTTCTTCAAGTCTTGATACATTTTAGTAGCACCGGGATGAATACTCAGACCATTTTTATGACCTTCCTCTAGAATATTCTTCTTTAGTTCTGGTAAATCTGGTACATAAACCCTATCTCTGAATCTCATTACACCATTCTCGTCGATTCTGAAATCGCCTCCTTTTTCCTGATTGATTAATACCAATCGATCGATCAATCACAAGTTGTTTTCCTGATGATTTCTTCAAGGATGCCACTAGTTAACTTCAACATACACAACTTTACACTGTTAAGAGTCCTTTAACATAGCAGACTCAGATCTATGAATTGCTCGATTAACTCCAATTCTCGAACCATAAGCATCGACATATTCAATTACTTTCTGCTCAAAGCATCAACTACGACATTACCTTTACCAGGATGATAAATCAAAATAAAATCATAGTCCTTCATAAATTCGAGCCACCTCCTCTGCTCATATTCAACTCTTTCTGATCGAACAAGTACTTCAAACTAACCAAACAGATAATGCCTCCAAATTTTTAACATAAACACAATGACTGCTAACTCTAGATCATGTGTAGGATAATTCCTCTCATGAACTCTCAGCTGTCTCGAAGCATACGCCACAACCTGGCCATTCTTCAACAACACACCACTTAGACTCATCTTCGAAGCATCATTATACACATCAAAAGATTCACTTGGACTTTGCAAAATTAAAACTAGAGTCGATGTTAACTTCTTCTTGAGTTCTTGAAAACTCCTTTCACATTGAGCACTCCACACATAAGCTTGACCTTTTCGAGTGAACTGAGTCAAAGACAATGCTAACTTTAAAAAACCTTCAGTGAATCTTCTGTAGCCAAATTCAGAAAACTTCCGATCTTAGTAACAGTCATCAGAGATTCCCATTGCAACACATCATCTACCTTTGACGGATCCACTACGATACCACCACTAGATATCACATGACCAAGAAAATTCACTTCTTTCAACGAGAACTCACACTTAGATAATTTTGCATACAACTTCTTTTCTTTCAAGGTCCGTAACACAACTCTCAGTTGCTCCGCATGCTCTTCATCAGACTTAGAATATATCAAAATATCGTCGATGAACACAGCCGCAAGCTGATCTAAGTACAGCTGAAATATTCTATACATGTACTTCATGAAAAACTCCAGGCGCATTAGGCACACCAAACGACCATTACACGAATATGATGATATCCCGAACGCAAATCATTCTTACTGAATATGCAAGCACCAACCAACTAATCCATCAAATCATCAATTCTCAGAAGAGGATACCTGTTATTGATAGTAACCTTGTTCAGCTATGGATAGTCAACACACAACATCATGCTACCATCTTTCTTTTTAACTAACAGCACCGGCGCTTCCCATGGCAAAACACTCTGTCAAACAAACTTCTTATTAAGTAGATCTTCTAACTGTTTCTTCAGTTCACTGAACTCTGAAGTAGACATTCTGTACAATACCATCGACACATAACTAATATCAGGTATTAAGTCTATAACAAACTCCACCTCACGCTCCAACAGCAAATCAATAATGTCATCTAGGAACACTTTCAAAAACACACAATATGTAAATTCCCGAATTCCCAAACAATAATGTTACGACTCGTATATAAAATACTACCTCAAAAGACAAATATATCTTAGGAAGAGAGTTTATAACTGTTTATGAACCATATACTCAAATTTCTGTACAAAAATCACTCAAATCAAATAACAGAAATTCAATTCAATATCCAAGACTTTCATTTCTGTTATAAGTATTATGAAGAGGGAACATCTAGGATCAAATCCCTCCTATCAATTTTCTCATTTTTTTTAACATATTAACCACTAACGATTACTATTAGAGAAACATGGGAGGCTTCGAGTTACACAACCAAAAGTAGTTAACTTCTTAAGCACTTGTATGTAGAAACAACACCTTTTTATGGTGAATCTATGAGTCTGAAATTAAGCCTTCTAAGCCAAATTGAATGAAGTATCATATGCATCACATCAAAAGGCTTAGCAGGCCTATTCATAACAAAATGCTTTTGAACTTTCTTAACATTCATATGCAACTTCATGTACTTATTTTTTGAAACACTTTGTAATATAGTCTTAATCTCTGATATTTTCTCCACAGAAATCTCTACTGAAAACTCACTCCAATTCAACACATCATTGAAAGGCAAAGAATAATTCTTAGAAATAATCACAGGCACACAACCAGCATTAATTGCTTCCACAATTCTTGGACTAGCCACTTCATATCCACTTGGACACAAACAGAATTTACTTTTTCCCATTAATTCTGTATAGTTTTGACCCTTTGGAAGATACTCATGAACTTGAATTTGTGTATCTTTGTCTTTCCAATGATTTAACAACAGTTTTCTAATGTCACCATGGGCTCCACCAGAAAAGAAGGCTAATATAGTTCGGTTTATCGGGCTTTGGCCCAGATTTGGTGGGCCTAGTTTTCCAGCAGGTAAGTTCATTTCAGGAATGGAAACATCTCTTTTGGGCTTGAACCCTTCAGAAGTGTTGGCATTGCATAAGACTCTTGTGAAGCTTTTGAAGAGATCTGGATTTGCATCTGAAATTTCTGGTGCCTGCATGAAATTTGAAAGAATGAATAAACTAAATGTAATCACAAGTGTCTGTGTGACTTTCAGACATGACGTTGACATGAACACATTTTTTCATAGGTGTCGATGCTTATGTTTAGAGGTTAAATAGAGTGACAAGAAAATTTGCATGGATACATTACCCAATCATGACAAGAAAGAAGAAAATGGTCAGCACCATTGCTTCTGTTCCAATAAGGATACTTATCAGCAACAACATTTATATAATCCTCCACCAATCTTTGAAGTCGGTCGCGTTTGAAATCCTTTTTGGAAACAATAGGCTTATAAACATATTGAACCACATTTGCTACACTCAAGGGAAGGAAGAAAATGTGTGCTTCATTAGGGTTCTTAGCCTTAAAGGGACTCTTTTTGCTGTTGTCTATTTCATCAATGAATTGTCCTTCAATTGCATATATGTTGTTCACTGGCCCACCATGTACTATCGGTTGTTCTCCTTCTTTGTAAACCCAAATCTTTAGCCTCTTCACCATCTCCATGTGACTCCTAATTTTCATATTTTTATGGACAAAAATAAAACAAGGACATGTTAGCAATATATAACTGTTATTTCAACCACATTCGGATGTTACACTGCAACCGCAAATTTAAACCATGATTATGAGTAAAGAAGATGAAAGTTAACTGATGAAAAGCATATGGATTTCTGTAGATATTATGCTTCTGTGAAGTACTACTGTAATTCCTTGACAGAATAGCTTTTCGAATCGAGGCTCGAGCTTCTGCTAAGCTTTCTTCAACTTTATCCAAGCTAGTCATAATTTTCTGCATGCAACAAAAATGAAGAGAGAAAAAAGCTGGATAAACAAAAACTTGAGCTGAAACTTTTCTTCATGGTTAATAATAATACCTTAATGCTACTGTTTGTTTTATGTTCAAAGCTTCTATATGCAGAGTTTGCAAGTAACTGATGATGAGGTTTAACTATTACTTGTGTTGTGTTGTTAGTATCTTTTATGGTAGGAAGAAAGAAAGGAAAAACGAAGAAGGAGTTAAGATGGTATCCTTTATGGAGAAGAATGAGGAAAAAGAATGGTAGAAACAACAAGGATGCTGTGAAGCATCGAAAGGCTTCCATGGCATGACAGTTTCATTGGTGAAGGTTGAATAATGTGTATGTTTATATTTAAGGTAATGAAGTCATGTGAAGATGTTGCAAACCTAAGTTATTGTTGTGAGACTATTCAACAAAGTTTTAGTATTAGGTGTTCGTGAGGCAGAAGGTATGGATTATCATCCTCAAAAGTAGAGCTTGTGTAGTTGTGAATATATTTACAACCTTGCACGTGGATGGGAAGTTGGGACATTTATTTCTGTGCTAGTTTAAAAGGAAATTATACTTTAACCACTTGAGAATTGAGATACAAGAGGGATATAATACACATAGTTTAACATGCTTTTTCTTTGCATTGTTCGATTAGTTAAAAATATTTATTTTGAAACTCAATCCGAGTTTAATAAAAAAAATTAATTTAAATATAATTCAATTTAACTTGAATCACAAAATAAAAAGAATTTTTTTATTTATTATAACCATGTATTGGGTAAGAAATACCAAATAAATGATTGTTTCAGAAAATTTACAAAAGGGACTATAATTCAACGTTTTGTTGCCAATGTGAATGGCGACATAGTGTAAGTTGTTTTGGACTGTGCAGAGGTGTCGCCAGTGTGAATGGCGACTCAGTTGAAAATGATTTTAGCCTTGAAGGATTCGTCCAAGTGAATGGGGACTTAGTTGTAGGTATTAAGATTTTTTTTTATAATTTTTAAACATAATAATTATTAATATTTAAAATAAAGTTTTTAATTAATAAACACAATTATTATTAATATTTTTAATGTTTTCATATAATGTTAAAATTATGTTTTTAATTAATAAACTTAAAATAATTAGGTTTAAATAAAAATAATGTTAAACTAATATAGAAATGTTTAAAATATAGAAATACATTAATTTACAATATAATGAAAATTACAATTGAAAAAAAAACTAATGGCCGGCTCTATCCAAGCGACCACCAGTGTCACATTGCGGGGGATACGCGTTGCGACGAGGTCTACGACGAGGTTGCTATGGTGTGTCCGGTCTTTGTGTGTTGAGTTGTGGAGGAAGGTATTGTTGGGACGGCCCCGACGTATCAGATAGATTTTGCAGCATTTGACCCCAATAGCCAGGAGGTCCACTATCAACGACGCTTCCGTAGTTAAGCCTAATGCCCATGTTTTCGTAGGATGGTCTGGGAGGTTAGATGGAGTATGGACGGTATGGTTGTCCGAATTCGTACATCGAATTAGGTTGGAAATGGTGTGTTGGTTGTTGTGGGGTGTGGTAGTCAAACAGCGGATAGTTGGAGGGGGTAGGGTCAAATGAGTTGTCTAGGCTATAGGTGGAGGGGGTAGGCTCAAAAGACGTATCAGGGCTATAATGGTATGGTGGTTGAGGATGGGACTGAGTGGGTGGCATGTAGAGGTCATGGTAAGGATGTTGTTGTTGATGGGGGCATTTGATGGCATGTATGGGTTATGGTAAGGCTGATTTTGGGCACTGGACTGTTGTTATGTGTTTGACGAAGAAGCGCGTTGCCTTGGGTCAACCAAATAGGTTGGCTCGGACAAAAATGGTTGAGATGTCATGAGAGAACTAAACCAAGTCATATATTGAAGACTTGGCCTAGCCCCGTGCACAATATGGTCGGTTAAGAAATATTGTATTCCATATTGTCGCGATAAGAATCGGATGTCAAGCTATTATGTTAACTTGAATCATAAAACATTAAATGTTCACCACCGAACTTTATTTTATCCAAAAGAAATGGAAAAGATCCAATAAAACCCTAATTGTGCAATGTGACAACAATGTGAGGAGATCTAAAGGTTCGGGGGTTGATTATACTAAGGGAATGTATTAGCATCCTAAGTATCTATAGTATCCTATAAGAACCTCTTGAAAGTATTTGTGTTATGTAATTTACTTGCTAATGTTTGGAAACGTTCTATTTTATTAGGTTTTATAAGATAGGGAACCTAAGGAGGTTTATTGCTAGTGTGCTCGCCAAGACTTCACAGTCTTATGCATATGTATCCTAATAAGGGTGGAATCAGAGAAATCGTAGTTCACCTAACTACGGATGAAGAACACTTTATAGTGATCAAGGTTCAAAAGGGGAAGGTAAGTGTTTATAACAATAACACTTACATGACTTAACAAAGTGAAAGAGTTTACAAACTCTAACCTATGGCTATGTTAAAAGGTTAATGACTTAACAAAGTCAAAAGAGGTAGTTGAGGGGATGTTATACTACCTATGACATAAAGTCAACAAAAGAAATATTTCCTTTGGATTTAGGCAACAAAAGAAAAGAGAAGAAAGAGAGCTAACAAGCTAACATCACTAGGGGATGACTTGACAAAGTCAAAATAAACATGAGTATATGGGTGATAATGGATGAGATGAACAAGAATGATATTCAAACATGATATCAAAGTAAATAACACATGATAAAGGATGACATTCAAACATGATATCAACCAAAGTGGATAAAGAGTGATAAATATGATGCTCAAACATGATATTAATCAAAGGCAAATAATAAGTGACAAATATAACATTCAAACATGATGTTAATCAAATGATCATGTGAAAATGGATGAGATATAGCAAAGTCAAATGAACATGGTAACAGCCAACACATGAAGGTAGATGTGACAATATCTAAGGTAAGACTTAACAAAGTCATAAATAGACATGGTAACAACCAAGGTAAACAAACACATAAATATAGATGATGCATAGTCAAAGCATACATGAGACATGGTTCTAACAAGACCAAAAATAACAACACAAGTGTGCCATATCATAGCATGTTCATAATAATAACACATGAGCATGGAATATAAACACATAAGTAAAAACATATGAGCATGGTCATAAATGTGACAACATCAATAACATTATCATAGACATGAAGGATATAACAATATCAATCATAAAGGGAGGATATAACAATATCATGCAAAGGTTCAAATAAACATGTAAATCATGGATATAATAATATCATGGTCATGGAAACAAATATCAACATGTGAATCATGGGTGAAAAGTTCAAGTATGAACAATTAAATAAAGCATAAGCTAATGTTAAGATTGTGACATGGTTTAGGGTTTACTAACACCACTTAATCAGGAATACAATTTAAAATTTCAAGCAATCATTGACAAGTTTAAGATACCACTTAATCGGGAAAATAAGCTAGACATGGTTCAAGGCGTAAGGGTAACAACCAAGGGTTCATGTCAATGGTTCATTGTGATTACAACAAGTCTAAGCATTTCACAAGGTTTGAATATACTGAACATGTATAAAACATAATAACATCACAAGGAAACATCTCATGGACAAACACAAGACAATAAATTATGATTAACAATGTAAAGTTTGTGAAGAAAGTACTTAGTAACAAACAAACATGCACAAGAGGTCGACCTAGGCAAGACAAAATGCAAAATGCACAAAAGAGGTTCATGCGTCGACGCATGCACGACAGAAAATTCTCAACCATTTCAATCAGTATGCATCGACCTATATAAGAGCCATGCGTCGACGCATGCATGCCAGAAAGTTTCAAATCAACATTTTCTCAGTGTGTCGACCTGCACAAGAGCTATGAGTCGACGCAAGAAGGCCAGAGAGTTTCAAACACCATTTTCAAAATTTTCACAAATGTCAACTTGCTCAAACTCAATGAAAATGAACGATGTAAAAATGAAAGTTGTGAGATTTTTCATAAGGATTAAGATGGTGTCAATTAATTTCATTAATTCTAAACATATCTCAAATACTCAGAGTAAAATCATTATGAACCCTAGAATAAAAATTTAAACTGGAATCATGTATAGTAATGATCATGATCAATTGACATATGGTTTATGATGTCTACATGATGACAAATGATTTGGTAACTCACATGAATGAGTATAGCAACATAATCAAATTGTTCCATGTTAGAATTCCCTTACCTATTAGAGCAAGGTCCAATGCCTTCTTCTAATGGTTATAAAATTTGTGTGATGATTCAGAAAGCTTCCCTAACCTCCCTTAATGCGTTTGGAATGCCTGTATTGCTTTGGAACAACCTCAAAATTTCTGCACAAATCTTCTTGCAAAATGGAAAAGTATAATTTGATTATGAGATAAATGAAGTTATAGTTGCATAATGATGTTAGGGACAGTTTAATACATGTTTATGGATGGTGTTTGAATGCTTGAATGAATTGGAAAAGGATTGTATAAAGAGTTGTAGTGTTTTGTGCAAAAATGTCAACAAACTTGGTATTGAAGGTTGAAATTTTGATTTTGAGGGTTTTGGATGAAGATGAGGGTTTGAACACCTTTAGTATGTGTTTGGTGATATGTGTGGATGGGTGGTTTGAAAGTTTTTTTGATTATGGAAGGTTTTGGACAAATTTGTGAAAATGAAGGTTTTTGGTGCAAATGATGACTTGATGCAAATTCTGGTGTGTGGTGTGTTTTTCTGTGTTTTCTTGTGTGATTCTTATTGTTTTGGACTGATGAATGAGTCTCTATTTATAGGGAAAAGGTTGAGGGACTGAGGTTATGCAGAATGGAAGCTTGGTGCACAATGGCTTAGTTGGATTCCAAGTGATAGTTTCATGGATTTTGTGGTTCCAAAGCATAATAATAGCCTTTCTAGAGTTGTTGGAAAGTTTAGAGGTGTTGCTTCTGTGTTTAAAAAGGTTTGTATGCAGAAGAAACAATGTATGGGCTTAAGAAAAGTTGACTTCTTGATTAAAGTCACTTTATCAAAATGGAAGTGTGATCTTTATGCCCTAAATGGAATAATCCTTTGAATAATGCCTTAGCCACTTGGATAATGCATCATTAATCTTTGTAAAGCTCATATCTTATAGAGATTTAGAAGAAAGAATGCCTGAAACTGAGATTGAGTAGGTTTGGCTAGGCTTTGCAACAAGATTTTGACATGATCATAAACCAAAATCTAAGTTTTCAAGGTCAACTTCCCTTCATCGAAACTCGTAGTTCAAATATGATAAAA